TATGGGATATTTCCTGCTTGTCTTTTCTGTAAGAAGCAGCATTCCAGGCATTTTCAGAGGGTACTTTATCTCTGTTTTGTACAGAATGCTTTTGCTGAGAAGGGAAGAAGTGGCTGTCCCATCATGTAATTACATTAAATTGTTAGAGTGCTTGCCTGGCACGCAGGAAGGCTGGATTCATTTACTGCAGCAAGAGAGACTGGAGTTGTGTTTCTGGAGGTTTCTTGGGAGGCACAGTGAGTGCTGGATCAGAAAGCAAACTGAGCTGGACACTGCACTCTGCTGAAGGTCCTCCTGTGCTGGAAGGAACTGGTGCTTCAGAGCTTTGCTAATGTGATAGGTAGTTAAAAGATTGTAAACTGAATTGGGGTGAGAGGAAGGGGCACATATTAAATACAGAGGGAGATACTAAGCAGTAGCAAAGAAGCTTGGGCTTAGGCTTTGTCAGTGTCTTAGTCAGCTGTCTGATTCTGCTTGGCTTTGAGTCCTTTTCTGAGGAGGCGCCTTTATGGTTGGTTTAGGGATGTCAACTTCAGCAGGCATTACACTGCTGCAGCACCAAGTGCTGCTCCACACAGCATGGAAGTGCTTCTGCATGTCTGGTCCCAAGTACGTGGTCAGAACAGAAGTGTAGGAAGTCCTGCGAGGAGTCGCCTTGCAATGAGAGCCCCCCTTCCAAAATCATCAATTGGTTTGACTGATCTGTACTGCTGGATGCAGCACAGCCTTGTGTTAGGCCAGCTGGATACAATAATGCTCTTTGAAGGTGCTGCCAGTATTTATTTTCCTCTTAGAAAACCACCAGTAGAAGAAAATCTGTCTGCAGCAGCCCTCGCCTAAAAACAAGCTCTGAAACTGATATTAGGCCTTAACATGTATTTTGTCTAACAGAGATACATTTCTCAATTATTTTTTCTGAATGTCTGCTTGTCCAGGTAGCACATAACTCGCAGCCATCTCTTGTGCCTAAATGTTGCTTGCTGTTCAGCATCAAGAATATGAGACAAATGGCTGGTATTGGAAGCACAAGCAGCTCCCACTTGAGATATTTCCAACCTCAAAGTGCTTTTCAGAGATCTGTGTTGAGTTGCTACTTGTAAGGTCTTGTGGTATCTAAATGCATCTAAGGATGTTTCATGTTGTTAAGTTGTTCTCTTGATAGGAAGCCACCGTGGGGTTGAAATCTCTGCTATAATGAGATCCAGTTTGTAGCAGTTAAATGTCAAATCCGTGATACTTGAAACTATAATTAAAAGGAAAGGAAAAAGTATTGTGAGAGAAAAATAAGAAAATCAGTAGTAGTTTAAAGAGTAGCTTTAATTTTTTTATATAGAAGCAATACCTAGGAATTTGGAACAGTTTAAAATTGGTTTTGGTGCCAAATGAAATAACAACTTACGAAAAATAGCTTTGCAATGTTTATAAGGAATATAATATTCAATGCATACAAATATACCAAAACTAAAGGGAAGTGGTCTGGAAGATTTAATAATGGTAATGAAACTATCCGCTAATGTACATCTGTGTATAATTACAGCTTTCTAAACTCAAATTGAGTACTCTTAAATTTCTCATGGAATATGATCATGTCTTATATATGTGTAGAAATGCTATAAAAAAATGTTTGAATCCTGCTTTGAATTTGAACTACCTCATCCTTTCTCTGCTGCAGAGCAGCTGCAAATATGTAACTAATCATTTCCTGAAACAACATTTTAGAGTCTAGTTCTCAGAAGTGGAGCTTGATATTGCATCTTCAACGTATCTTAAATTCTGTCTTCCAGCTAGTCTTAAATGGAGTGAGTTGAGCAGGAAAAGAAAAGTGAGTGGTAATAGCAAGGTTTGTCAGTAGATGTGGGTTTTCTGAGGCACAGAGAGCTTACAGTATCCTGAAAGAAAAAGTTGCTGCAACTCACTGATTAATCAGCCTAAAAAAACTTCCACCCCACCTTCAGTTTAGTCAATTTACTGTAATGAATTGTGCAAAGTTATTGCTGCAAGGAATGTTTTAACAAAATGTTAAGTGTACATCCCTTAGCTTCAGAGCTTTGGGAATAGCAAAGTTATTTAGAGACTTGAATTTTAAAATGACATTTAATGTACATTTGTTATGTTAAAAGTATTAGTGTAGTATCATCGTAATATTTCCCACTGAATGGACTTGTAAGGTTGCAGTTTTGTTTCTTTGCATGTCTTCTAGTAGTGAATCAGAAATTAGTGGGAAGCAGTGACATGATGTGTAAAATTAAAATATGACAAATCGCTGCAACACTAGCATTTTAGCTGGTGTGCACTCATTTTCTTGTTGCTATGTGTCCTGGCCTAAAAAAATAACTGCATGAACTATGACCACAAAGGTTTTATTCTAGCGGTGTTGTGTGTACACCTAATGTGTGGTTGATGTCTCTGCTAGTTGGCAGCTACCTTTTTATTTTTCAATAACTTCAAAATGGTTGTCCATATGCATTTACATACTAAGTTGTAGCCTGCAATTGCCAGTCTTTTTTAAAAAAATGTCAGGAAGATATTATTTTAAAGTATTAGTAGTTTTATATAGAAAAATACAGTAGCCTTTTTAATTGTTATTCATTAAATCTCTCTCTTGTGCTCTCATGATTAAAGAGCTGTGCCTCCTTTTAAGCAGTTTAAGTTGCTTTCAATCTTCCCTTAAGCTTAGCTTTCTGTATGAATGAGTTTTGTCAGTGCCAGCATTGTTGTCTTCTACCAAGAAGATTACTCCTCAAAAGCAAGTGGCTTTTTGAGCTCACATTAGAAGTTGGGATTTTGTTTCACTCGAGGCAAGCTAAAAAAGCAGCTCTGTTTGTGGTGATGGCAATATGGTAATGCCGTTCGACCATATGTTTGATTCCGATCTAGCACCAAATTACCATGCTGAAGCAATTTGCAATCAAAGATATAAATAAACTGGTTGTGTTTATGCCTATGGTTTCAATAACTGCTTTTATCTCTTTTTGTGCTCTCAAGTTCTCAGTGAAGGATATAACATATTGTTTGCGCCTAAATGGTAGGGATTTTCCACATGTACCTTCCAAATTCTTAATTGGATTTATAAGGTGTTCTAGGAGGCAAGCTGAACATCAAGCAATATGCAGTGGCAACTTCCATCCTGGAATGGTATAGAGCTTTGTTGAATTTTGCAGCTACAGTTGATACTTGGACTTCAGTGTTTCTGTAGTGTCCTTAAAATGATGCATGAAGCCAAATAATGAGTGAAATATAACTTCTTCAAAACACAGAAAGCGTCTGTTTCACTGTGCTGGAGGGACTCAGTGCACAGTGACATATAATTTCCCTCATCACTGTGAGTCATAAACATTTTCTTGAAATGTGCTGTGTGGTTTTGGGAGTGTGTTTTTGTGTTGGTGTGGGTTTTCTTTGTTATTTTTATTGTTGTCATAAAGCTTTCTTTAAGCAGAGGTATCAATTGACCTCCCCAAGGCCCAGTATCCCAAAGCATGTACAATGGTGATACGTAGTGTAGGAACCTGTTAAAATTCCTTCTCTCTGGGATCCTTGATGCATGATGCTGTGAAAAGCATGCTTTAGTAGTACTCAATTTTTAACTAATTTAGCTGTATTTCTCAAGGGGGGGAAAAAAAAAGCATCTGTATTTAGTTTTTAATTTCAGTATTTTAGAAATCTGTTGCCTTTTTCCAACATATTTCTAAATATTAGTGCCAACTTAGCACTTCGACACTTAAGCTGAATTTACACTGGGAAGTTCTGAGATTCCTGGGGACAAGATGATGTGGTATCGTTTGTGGTTGAAATGCTTCCCAGCATAAGTTTGGCCTGTTCCAACTACTTACTATTCCATCAAAGAATTCCCAGATGTGGCTTAGGAGCTGGGACAGCAGAGGCATTTTCTGGTATGCACTTCCATACACCATCACCCTGCTCTGGAGATTCTGGAAGATTTCTCTGGAAGAGATGAGAACTGTTCTGCACTGCTTGGCTTCAGTGCACTCAGTGGTGGCTGTAGGCATGGTGTTGTATCTTGCACGTTGTAGGAGAGGTCTTGTCCTTAGTAGGATTGTGCCAATGTAACTGGTTTTATAGATGGGACTCCTTCAGTGCAGATTTAAAAAAGGAAGCATAATTTCTTTTGGCAAGTGTGCAAGAACATCAGAAGCTGATGACACTTAAATCAGTTGGCTAAGTGTAGTGTGCAAACTGGCATACAGTCCATGCAGTTGGTAGTTTGGTTTTTGTTGTTTTGGTTTTTTTTTTGTTTCAAAGTTAGCCTCTTCTCCACTTAATCCAAATGCATAATGGGGTAATTCCAGCTTCATATTTTGTGGTTTTGTGGTAAGAATGAAAGAGTGTGGTGGTTGGGGTTTTTCCTTTCCCTGTTGAAATGAAAATGAGATTTTTAGGTTCAGAATAAATGCTGGAAATTAGAGGAGGGCATTGGTGAAACTATTTGCCCCCCACCCATCTAAATCATCAATATCTCTGCAATCACAAATCCAGCAGAGTTGCCTGTGAGGCCCAGAATAAACTCTAATGAAATTAACACATGAAAATATTTTGGAAGTATTTTTCCAGTAGTTAGGATGCCATTATGTATATAATTGCTAGATAACCTGCTTTCTTTTTTCAAATAACTTTCTGTTTAGGCTGTTCCTTGTTAGAGCAGGGCTTTCTTCAGGTCTTTCTTAACATTTTTTCCCATGTAGCTCCTTATAACATTACTAATTAAATAAAAAAAATTAAAAAACTAATTCCATCTTCCTTACTAAATGTCTTTTTTTTTTTTTTTCCAAAAGAAGACATTTTGCCTAAATTAACTGTAAAAGTCTGACTCAATTTTTGATCTGTTTTTCAAATAATGGAACAAATAATAATTGTTTCTCCTGAAGTCCTTATTTTCTTTGAAAACTCTTAAGTTTAAAATCTGGAAAACCTGGTTTGCTTTGAAAGTTGAAAACTAAATTAAGATTCTTTGATTATTTTAAAGATTGTGTACTTTTTTTCAGGAGGACCCAAATGATATTGACCCCAAAAGGAAAGAATTGCGTGGCAGTGATGGGGAGGACAAGGCACAAAGTGTGGAGACACTACCTCCAGGTATTGCAGTACGATTTGTTATGAAATAACCATAGCCATAAAACATTTATCATTGAAAGCCATAAAACCCTGCAGTTGTTCTGATTCTAATAATTCTTTGTAGTTTGAAAGTGCTAGGATTATTTTAGCAGCATGTACTTCTCTCTTCTTATAGCTTCAGCATCTTTAAATCTTACCTGCTTCACTGGTCCTTTGAGCTTAAAACAATAAGGGAGTGTGGTTCTTTGCTAGTATGTTTGTATTGTCCTTCATTGGGTTTGAGATACTGTAAAGGCCTCTGGTACAGAAGTAGTCCATTTCTCTTGGTGGATGATGCTGGCAGGCAACAGACAAGTCACCTTGGGACCGTTATTTTGACTGAAGATTCAGCCAAGGTTCATTCTTCTTTAGGTTTTTTCCTAGCTTTTGATTTGGCAGTTTTTTCCGAAGTGTGCTGCTGGTGTACTTTATTTTTTCTCATGCTTGCTGAGCATTTGTCACATGCTGGAAAATAACAGAGCAATGCGATTTTTATTTTGTTTGAGTGAAATCCTCATGTCTTGAGGATGAGTTAGGAAAATTGTTAAGGAATCTTCATTTCATGTGAAGGCTTCCATAAACTTCTTTTGCTGCTTAACTGTTTCATATCAATGAGATTTCATATATTGCTACAACTGACATACTAAAGCATACAGAAAAATGAAAATTTAATTTGAATATTTTATACAATTGAAAAAGTTTAACCTGTGACAAGGACAACTACTTATCAGATAGCATCACAGGTTTTGCTTCTCTTCTATTAATCTTCATGTTTTGCTTACAAATATGTCTTGGCCAAACATTTTAAATACTGAGATCTTGAAGAAAGAACTAACCAAAGCAAGTTTTCTGTTAAGCAGCTGGGAACTTCCATCCCCAGGAATGTGTGAGGTATGATTTTTCTTTTTCAGTCATAGGCTCTCTAGGTGCAGTATAAGCTCTTTGCTACTGATGCTTTTTTCTGTATCCTTTGTCCTACCTTATCTACTAGCTAGTATCTTAGCTACTGTTTGGAGAATGGAAATAAGACTGGTTATCTATGTACACTTTTTTTGGCAAAGCCTTTAATTTGTGTATGTATTGAGAAGTAAATCCCCAAAAGATGCAGAGCTTGGCTTATTTAACTTGGTTTCTGGCAGATCTTTTCAGGTATTTGTTCTGCTTAACAGACCTGTCTATAAATCTTGCTTCTGGTGTTAGATCAGCCAATTTTGCACCTTCCAGCTGTTCTTATTTCCCCTTTTTTGAGTGTTTATGTATTCTGGACCAAACTTTATACTTTCCCAGTGGCCTTAAGTAGCCTGTTTGAATATTAAAGGATGTGAGAAGTGTCACAGGTTGAAAGGGAGGGCTATCAGAAGCTGGAAGGGTCGAAACTAAAAGTAAGATTAAGTGTAAAGTAGAGCATGTCATGGCTTTTTTTCTCATTTCATATGTTGATTAGTAGTCTCTTATGGCCTGATGTAACAGACAGGAGAATTGTTACTGCAAAGTAGTATCAGAGTCTGGAATCAAACATCAAAAGTGTCACAGACAGAACTATACACCTTTAAATCACTGTTCTCTTTATTTTCAGTAAATATAGGTAAACTTCTGAATCCTTATGGCAGTGAAGCTTGCTATTCATGTTTCTGCAGATTCTTTGCACTGTTTAAAAAATTTGATATTAATTTGCAGGATTGTCTAGACAAATTTAATATGGAAAAGTAAATTTTGATGTTACACTCTAAATAGTGCTGTTGAAGTTTAATTAATTAAATATTTCATCGGTTGTGTTTGGCTTACTGAATGTTGTTCCTTAAGTCACAAATATTAAACTGGGTATTTCCCTGTTTTTCTGCTGTAGGAAAAGTTCGGTGGCAAGACTTTGATCAAGATGCCTATGTTGGTGCTACCGTGGTGCGATCCGGCCAGGATCCGTACGCACGGAATAAGTTCAATCAGGTGGAAAGTGACAAGCTGCGAATGGACCGAAGTATTCCTGACACTAGGCATGATCAGTAAGTGCCAAACTGAGCCATGCTGGATTAGATTAGCCTTTCTGTACTTATTGCTTGAGCTGCTTTTTCTGAAGCAGTTCTCCAGCTTTAGAAAGGACAGTAACAGTAAACTCCCTGATCCTTGAACAGTGGGTTAAAGAACAATACATCTTATTCAAATTTTTCTGTTTCCATGACTTCCATCAGTGTGTATTATATGTCCAAACTGGTGCTGCATTTCAGTCTCTCTTTGTTCCTGTTTATCTGGTGGCATTTCTTGGTTTCTACATTTGTAAGTCTCTTTCACAGTGAGGATGATCAAATAGTGTAGCAGGTTGCCCAGAAGCCTCCAGGCTTAGGGATATTCAAAGCCCAGTGCAGAGCCTGCTGTAGCAGGCACTGCCTTGAGGGAATTTGGGCTTAAGAGATCTCCAGGGCCACTTCAGATCTCAGGCACTCTGTGATCCTGTTTGTAGGTGATGATTATCAACTATAAACCTAAAGGAATCAATTTATTCACATCCTGGTAATCATAGGACCGAGTTATACTTCAGGCTGCTTGTGCAGTTTCAGGAAACAGTACCCTTCACAGTAAGGAAAGATATAATTTACTACTGGTTAGAGAAGACCTTAATTTTAAACAGAATTTAATAACTTGCATGAATCTTGCTTGAAAAAAAAGTTGCTCATTAGGACTTTGTAACTTAAAAATACAATATCTGGTTGGTTTGGTTTTAAAAGCTAGACAAGCCAGCTTGAAACCTAAAATTAACCAGCTGTATGTAGTTAATTTGCCTGACTAATTTTATAGGTAAAAGAATGTACATTCAGAGATTTGTAAGTAGAAGTAGTTGAAAAGGACACCAGAAAAGGAAGGTTGCTGGTTTTTTTCCCCTATAAAGTTCTTTAATCAGAAATAGCCTAGTGAAGAAAATTTGTATAGAAACTCAGTCGTTTTTTAAATCCCTTGTATAATAGTGTGGGTTTAAGTTTCTTTACGCAAAGTATTTGTAGATTGAGTAAAGCAAGTAATTTGTTTTGAAGTGAATGTCAAAGTAGGAAGAATCTGGTGTTTCACTTGCTGCCAGGAAAGCAGTGAAAAGCCTGTGGTGTTGTACTGAGGAGTTTAAAATTACTTTTGTGATTTCTTCATAGCATATATTATTTTTCCCATGAGAACTGTATTCTAACTTTTTAGGTCAGGTATGCTTTTCCATGAGATCAAACTCAAATAACCACCTTTCAGAAGTTTCTATGATTCAGATATCCTGAATTTGGATTTTTTTAGGTACTCAGTAACCTTGAGGAGAGAGAGGGACGTGAGCTAACAGACAACGTCTGTCCTTTGAGAATAACTTAGAGAGACATCTGGAGATAAATTATATTACAATGGCCATGTTTCTTTTAACTGTTAGTCTTGTGATTATATGCTTACTTGCTTAAATGTTTTGACTAAACAGAGCTGGAAAAGAACCAAGAGAGAGATGTTGCTGGGGAAGGGCTATATCTGAGCTGGGATTATTACTTAGACTTTGCCATGGAGCAGATTTAAGTGCCTATCAGTCTGTGAATAGTCATCTTTTAAAGAAAAAAACCCAACAAAATAAACAGAAAAACAAACTGAAGCAATCATTCTTACAAGCTGTCCTTAATGAGTCCCTGCCATGTTACATTTAATTTTCCTTCTATTCTGGGAAGAACTTTCACTGCAACAGCTGAAGAAGCTGTGTGAAATATTTGTTTGGGAACTGTGCAATGGAAAGAACAAAAGCAATGGCCATAGGAAGAATATCTGAGCATGTGACACTTCGAAGCATATTAGTTTCTAATAAAATTGAAGATAGCTGAGTTGATATTAAGATCTCTTGTGGAGCTGTTGCAATCTTCTTTAAGGAAAGAAGCCTGGGTGGAGAAATGCTTTGTTTCTTCTTAAGTCACTTACTAATTGTATTGATGTGTCTAAGAGGCTTTTTGACTTAAAATAAATTACATAGCTATGTTTTTTAATTGCTGAATGCATCTTTTAATACTATATGGTTAAGTCTTTTTTTACATCATATGAACTTTTTCTAGCAGGAAGACCAAAGGTTTCCTCATGCTTTTTGTGAAAGTCTGCCAGCACTATCAGAAGACACTTTTGGTTCACTCGTTTTAGCTGCTTGCCTTTGTTTTAAGGGAAAGGAAGAAGGGAGAAACAGGCAGATGCAACATAAGAAAGGAAGTGGAGAGGACTCTGAGCAGGAACTACCACTTTGAACAACTTTAAGAAACCTCTGGGTTTCCTTTAGTTTCATGGCAGATTTTGGAGATCTAAAAAGTGAGTGATACACAAGTGAGTGGCACAGTTGTAATAGGGAACTCGTAGAGCTGCCCTCCTGTGAGTATAAAATAGTTTCCCAAGTGGGATGAAGGATTAAATACTCTGGGTTTTTTTTGACCAATGTTCACCATGTATGCTTTGGACTAGTGATTTCTCATCACATCTTCTAATTGATATGTTGTGATGATTTTTAGGAATTACTGCCAAGTACTATAGCTGTACTGAGTTGTGTTTTCTTTGTAATTTGGCACATATTAGAAGCTTCTAACTTCACACTTAAGTTTTATTCTTAAGTAAGGAAGAAACAAGCTTTCCTGTGTCTTTAGTATCAGTTGAAGTGAATGTTCTCCTTGCACTGGTTAAAATGCATATTTCTGTCAAAAAGTGGTTTCAAACAAATCACAGAAGTTTTGGGGAAAATTGTTAATTAAATGAACTAGTCCAAATCTCTGGGGGAAAGAATGTACTTTTCATGTTTTGACTGATTTTACTGACCTATGCTAAACGTTGAAGGTCTTCATTGAAGTTTTCAGTTCAAGTCCTATCTTAACTAAATATACTTTCTTATTATTCATATAAAATTGAAGTGCTGCAGCTTGGGGAGACAAAGTTTAATCTTTGTGCCTAAAATAATGACATTGTTTCTTTGGTTTGAATTTTAACTGTGGCCCTGTTGACACAGCAGAATAGGAGGAAGACTGATACTGAGTCAATTAAAGCAGGGATTTATGAAGAGCTGAAAACAGTAATACTTGTGAAACATTCTTCCAGTTTTATTTGGAAGTCCAGAAGGCTTGTTTCTCCCTCAGAAATACACAGTAGTGCTCTTCTCTTGAGTTTTCTTAAAATTGAGAGGCTTCATTGCCTTGAGTAATTTCCCCCTAATACGTAATCGGGCTCAAGTGCTCTTTTATGCAAACAGATTGATATAAGGCTCACACTAGAGGAGCTGCTCTTTATTTTTCGGGAGCACACAAGCGTTTGAGATTTATTTGTTCCACCCTGGGCACTAGTGACAAAGTCATCTTGTATGCCCACCACAGCCAGAGATGGCCCTGCTAATCTGACACAGCACTTGTAGGCTGGGCATACATAGACTGTTTTTATTCAGAGCTGAGTGAGGTCACTGCAGCATGGTAACGTTCTGTTTCATGCAGGCACTAATGTGTGTGACACTATGGTTGTGTCGTATCAAAAACACCACAGGTTTTTGTAGGGTGGGCCAGGGCAAGAAGCACACTGCTGCTTGCTTTGCAATTCCCAGAAGTTGGAGGTTGCATTGTTTATGGTGCATGTTGCAGATGTTTAATCAGGCATGGAGGGGGCTTTTATACAGGCAGAGGCCTAGTTTTAGAAGTGTTGGTGGCAAACTTCTCTTAAAAACTTGTTTGATCAGTACTGCACAGTTTACAGAAATTGAATTGCTGAAATAAGTACTGAAGTCAATCACTGAATTTGCTCCAGGTGTATGCTCATTGGGTTTATTCCTTCTGAAGACAAGTAGGCCTATGAAAACTCTACCTTTAATTAAAGGGTATGGAAGAAATACTTCGCTGGTGTGTGTCACTGCACAAAGGGCAATCAGTATCATGACCTGTCACATTGTAATGCTTTTGGAATAAACTCAATATGCGTTGTTTTCTAGTGCTGTTAGTTTCTAATACAATGAGCATAATATCTTTTTTAGGTTTATTTTATTGGATTAAATATCAAAACTGTATATAGTCCTGAAGGGATCATTTTGGGATTTGCTTCTTTTACCTTATTATATTAATTTCAGGTTTCTAGAGGTAATGAAAAATGAGTTGACATAGATGGAATATTTCATTATCTTTATGATTTGGAAGGATATGATTTTGTGTTTAGTTGGCTCAGCATTGTCACAGCTAGCTCTGTTTTTAAGACTCTGAATGTTATGATCCTTACAAGTTCTCATTAGAATGAAAAACTAGTTTTATCTATGAGGAAGGTCAGGATGTTCCAGGAGCTTTAAAAATAAAGACAGAAGTGAAACACATGCCATTCTAAAGAAGAAATGTGTGGTAGCCTGTGAACCTGTGCATTTTTGTTGAAAATATGCTTATTCCCTTAGATGTATTGAATGCTTTTACTGTAAAAGAAGAGCTCTTCATGCTCAGCTGCACAAAAGACATTTGACATAGTGCAATGATGATGGTGTGGTGGCTTTTTTGAACCTGCCCATCTCTGCCACTGACTTTTTAGTCTTTTGTGTAGTAAAACAGTTACCAAAAGTGTCAAAAGATAAGTTGATTGTAATCTCACTTGATAACAAGCTATTTCGTTCTTCTTCGGCAGTGTGTCTATGAGTTTAATAGATGAACACTTTGCAGTGAAGGCTGACTGCCAAGCCTGGGATGTAAAAATTATGTTGAAATGACAAGGTATCATTTCTTTCAGGTGTCAACGGAAACAGTGGAGGATAGACTTGCCAGCCACTAGTGTGGTGATCACCTTCCATAACGAGGCAAGATCTGCCTTGCTTCGAACAGTTGTCAGGTATGCATAAGAGAGCCTAATTTTTCTTTAAGGCCATTCATTTCTGTCAGGTTATGATAAGCAAGGGAAGTAACAACCCACTGTGTTCTTCTGAACTATTTGCAGAGGAAAAAATAAATCTTAATTTCATAGAGATCTTCAGTTCTTACATCCTGAAGTAGTGATGTTAAACAAAATTGCTCACCTTAACTAAAATGAATGAAAGTATGGGACTGATTGCCAGATGATGCTTGGAGGCTGGCTCTTTTAAGAAAAAGTCAGGGTAGATGGATTCCCAGGTGATACTTGACTCAAAGATACCTTCAAAATTTCCATGTAGGACATTGTCTAATGGAGGCTGGAGAAGTCGGGGTGGGGGAGTAGGGAGGCAGGGCAGAAGGAACACACAAAATTATATATGTGCCTCTTTTCGTGCTTTCTGTAAGAGCAGGCCAACAGCTGTTGTTGAAACTAACATCCTGGGCTAGGTTCTACTGAAGCTTAAAAAAGTTATGGAACTTTAAAATGTTACGGAAAATTAACACTGCTGGAATGTTTTTTTTGTTTTGGTTTGTTTCAGTGTCCTTAAAAAAAGTCCATCACATCTTATTAAGGAAATCATCCTGGTGGATGACTACAGTAATGACCGTAAGTACTTTTACACGGTCCTACCTTACTGTGCTAATTCTGGTAAGATTTTCTGTAGAATGCTGATGGGTGACTCAGTTGAGAATAGGACACCTGAACAGGAGTTTGCAGAGACTTGGCCAAAACCAGGTCTTAACTTTTCCATATCTGTCATTGTAGAAATGTGAAGTTTCTATAAATATTTACAGTGTATTTTATTATTTCCTCTTAGTTATTGTTTCTCTGTCTGAAGGACAAAAGCGTATCTTTAAAAAGAGCCATTTCACAATATGTTTTCTTAGGTAAAATTAAATCCCATAGGGCTTGCAACAAACATTGTTGTAGTGCTGTTTTAAATGAATGCCTGTCTCCTTCAGTCTCTCGGAAAAAATCTTACTGAATCTAAAATAAATCATTGTCTTGTAGGTACTAGGGTGTCATGATATAAGTTTAAACAATTGAAATGGACATCAGATTAGTATTTCTTAGAAGAAGCTAATGTTTATATTTGCATTACTTTTGCTAATACTAGCTTAGGTCAGGTTTGTCTAAATGTTGGTTAGAAAGTGAGCTTTCTTATAGGCAATAAAACAGTTTATTTAATCCTATGAAAGTTTTTTTTCTCTATGCAATATAGAAACTGTCTAAAGTAAGCAAAGAAAAAATAGTTAAATAAAATTATTTCAAGACTTAAAGCTGGCTTTAAATAACATAATGAATATAGTAATTTCTTAGCCTGGTAATTTTTCTTTATTTCTTGTGAGATGAGTATCTAATTATGACCCCAAATATTTTCATCTACAAAGCTTTTGTTTTTCTTTGAAGATGGCCTCTCTTCTTGTATGCAGTGTTGGATGTCAATCTGGTTCTCATAATTTGATTTTTTTGTAATTTTTTTTGGTGATTTTTAAATTTGTTATTGTTTTATTTTTTCAAGCTGATGATGGTGCTCTCTTGGGAAAAATTGAAAAAGTACGGGTTCTTCGAAATGATCGGCGAGAAGGTAGGCTTAATTTTAAGGAAGTAAGATACAAATTCCACTGTTGCTTTCTCTGTTAGTTTTCATCAAGTCTTTTAAAGGAACATTCTGCTTTACATTCCTTATAGGAATATAAATTGGAATATATTGGGCCTTTCTTTTCTGTTACTGGACTGAATCCTTAGTTAAGCTGCTTCCATTGTACATAAGGTCTCATTGTAAAATGTATCTGTGTTTGAAATGATGCAACTGAAAAATACCTTCTTTTTTTTGCTGATTTCCTTATTAGATATCGTTTTATGCATTTAGTTGATGGACAGCCAGACAAACAATTTGCTTTGACTTAAGAGGGTTTGAGCAGCCAGGAGGGCTGGGACCAAGTGTGCTGGTTTTGATGAAGCCAGTGAGCCCTATAACAAATTTGTCTTAGATTAGTGTTTTCTTCTATGCTGCTTTGTGAATCTCACATCATTGGGCCCTTCAGTCAGCAGCTCACTGACAGTGGAGTTGAAAGTATTAGATACTGTTCTACAACTGTTTGAAATAATAACTGAGATTTGACAGTTGAAATAGCTGACTGAATTAGCAGATATGTGCTTGCTAATTTTTATAAGCTGTATCTTCTAGGCTGCTAGCCTGGCCTGGGGAAGAGCTGGAATCATTAGATTGTCAGGAACTGGAAATGATATGCACAAAACCTGTATTGTCCCATAATTAGAGTTATTGCAATAACTGATGGGTTCTTAGTATTTAAATATTCTGTTTGGCATATACTTGTGAACAAAGGCTTATTAGGAAAGCAGGTCTTTTATGACTTGCCATGGTTGGCAGGTTCTGAGTAAGTTAATGTCATTTTTCAGTGTATCACTTGAAAATGGAGAGAGCAGTTAGGGAAAAAACAGAATGAAGTAACACATTTTTGATGTTTGTTTCTTTTAATTTTAAATTTGAAATATTAATTTGCAATGCATATACAACCACATGCTTAGGAGTGTGCATCAATATATCTGAAAATTAAATATAATTTGACAAATCTATTATGTCAAAAGAAGAACTGTTTTCAGATAGAAGACAGAGTATTCGTTTACTTTGTGTTTGTGTGAGATTAAGATTAAATATTACACAAACTAAAATTTAAGAGAATTGATGAAATTAACCAATGTGTAGGATTCTAAGAGTAGCTCAGTAGTATGAACAATAGAGGAAAGCAGTGTGTTTTAAAACAAAATTTGAAGTAAAGAGATGGTATCAGTGGAGGGGATGACATTAACCGCCTTTCATTCAGAAATAAATATTAGTAGCTTTTAGTCTCATTGTAGTATTATCTGTAGTTTCTTATGGGAATAGATGTGCTTGAGGGTGTGGTAGTCTACAGAATAAATGCTCAGTGGAACCTTTAATTTATGGACAGTGGAACCTTTTCAGCTCTATTTGTAGTAAGCTTAAATGTGATTATGGAGGACTCGATGACCAAAGTTCTCTCCTCCATTTTTTTTGTCACCAACTCTGCAATTCAAAACACTATTGTGTTTTTTCTATAGAATTAGACTAAGACAGTAGGTTGTACAAGAACATTATTTAGAAATAATAAGCTCTTTGGGGGAGGAATTAAAATTTTTTAAAAAATGTATAAACATAGTGCTTGAAGGATGGTTTGATGTGGAAAAATGGAGCAGAAATGAAACAGAGCAGATTCAAAGGCTGAAATTGAGACAACAGCACAAATTCAGTGAGGTACACTTAGATGTCAGTGTGACACAGAAAATGTAAAATGTTGGAGAGCCACTCACACAGTATCTGGAACTGTGCTCACACTTGAAATGAGAGATAGGAAAAGGATCTAGATGTGGCTGTTACTGAATGTTGATGAGAGCAAACAAGCTTTTCCCCTTAAGCATCTTGTATTCTGTTGGCATAGTTATATTTTGCATATTTATTTAAAGGGAGCAGTAAGTAAAAGGCTTGACTCTTTTACAGTATTTCAGTTGTGGGGGTAGGGAGGGGAAATGCCCAAACAAACCAGATCAGATTTAGTGGGAAAAAATAAAGAAAGAAAAAGAAAAAAACCCAAAAACCTAGACTTGGCTTTGGTCTCACGTGACAAAAATAAATCAATGATTTTTTGAATAGTAGTAGAAGAAAGTAGGGAGGAAATTTGCGAAGGAACAGGAGGAAGCTTGCTATGTATATATATATATAGCAGGGAACTTAAAGGAATGGTGAGGTCATCCAGCAAACAAATAGTAAAAGGGAAGGAAGGAAAGGAGCAGAGTAAATCAGTGAGGGTATCTTTGTAATCAAGACATAGAGAAGAACATTTGTCTTGCCAGAAATTTCTGCCTAAAGATATCCATTCAAAACAGACAACCCCCAAACAAACTGCAAAACAAGAGAATTGCTGTAATCACAGAGGAAAGACAAATGGGTTGGGGTAAGGCTCTCAGATGGAATCAATGAAACATGGTTATTTCCTGAGCAAGTTAATAGAAGAACGTACAGACTCTGGTAAGGAGTAAGACGGGAGTGGCAAAAAGATGGGAAGAATAAGTTAATGATGGTGTTTTCTTCAGTTGCATATTAGAACTTTAGGAGACATACTTGTTTTCAGGTCCAATCTTAAGTAAGATTTACCGGTGTAGATGCCACTTAGAGTAATGCAGACCCATCTGTATGGGTGCATTACTTGTTTTGAAAAGGTACTTTGCTTCTTCTGCTTAAATCAGATGGAAACCTGTAGAGCGCAGTAGGTTGGGCACTTGCAGGCTGTTTGGTATGGGGTCTTTCAACTGAATTCTTAACTATCTGATTTTGATAATGGAGCTTGTGTATTTGCCTCGTCTGAGTAATTCAACTAATTACTAACTTGGAATGCAATAGTTTCTCACTACTGTTGCTTGTTGTCCCCAGGAAGTACTTAAAACTTTTTATCTTTACTTCTCAGGCCTGATGCGTTCCCGTGTCAGAGGGGCAGATGCAGCACAAGCCAAAGTGTTGACCTTCCTGGACAGTCACTGTGAATGCAATGAACACTGGCTGGAACCACTTTTGGAAAGAGTAGCTGAGGTTAGTAAAAAGTTGTAAAGTAATTTCCTGAAGAAACAGCTTTTAAATTTTAAAGCCATCTGGTTTATACTAGATTCATTTTATTTGTTTTCCTAAAGAACCTTCTCCCCTGAATTAAGATGATGGAGATGATTGGAGTGTTCTATGACTAAAACATATTTTTGTTCATTTAATCTCTGAACACAGGAACATAAAATCTGAATATTTATTTTTATCTTTGCAAGTAATTCAAATATATGCTTCCTTGGTTCTTTGGGGACCGCCTTAGTAAGCTGAAAATCTTTTGAGCAAAGTATGGTTTTCCTCTACCAATATCATCTTGGTATGATTCAGTTTACCTGAATCTTTACGCCTCATTAAGATTCAGTGTGATAATAGGAGAGAGGATGACTTGTGAAACCAAAATTCTCATGGAAGCTAGCAATAACTAGAGGCTCTCAGCATCTATGAAAACGATGCTTAGTCTGTGTCCTGGAAAAGCATTTGAGAGGCTTGAGAGTGAAATGATACTGTTTTCTCCAGGGGTTGTGTATTTGCTGGGGTTGGTTATACTTAACTTGCTCTGGAAGAATTCAGTTGAAGTGGAAATGGAATGAAGTTTGATTCCAAAAAAGCACTGTGGAGTACTCAAGATAACAGTTTTAACAGGTTTTATTCTTTCTTAATTGCACTCCTTTTCTGGAAAGCTAGTCTTTCAGAAAAGGTTTGGTTCCAAAATGCTTCTGATTAAAATGGTTTTGCTAAGCTACTCTGTTTGGTTAATGACCAGTTCTTTAGTTATCTGCCTTATGCTTTCCTTTGCATTCCCCCAAAAACCCAAAAACAGAAAGGGGGAGAGAAGGAAGTAAACCCTGTATTCTCAGTATGCAAATGAAGAAGCTATCAATCGATGACTGATTTTCTTTATTCTGTTTGGTTTTGATGCTTTTAGAGTCATAAAATATATAGGTTGGAAATGACATTTAAGGTTATTTAATCCAACTGTTACCCAAGTACCTGTGAAGCCCATTGTTAAACCATGTCCCTGAAATGCCACATCTGCACATCTCTTAAATACCTCCAGGGATGGTGACCTCTCCACTTCCCTGGGCAATCTGTTCCAATGCTTGACCACTCTTTCAGTGCAGAAATTTTTCCTAATACCCAATCCAAACCTCCATGATGTAACTTGAGTCGATTTCCTCTTTTCTGTGCTAATTACTCATAAGAAGAGACTGATCTCCACCTTGCTACAGCCTTCTGTGAGGTTGTTGTACCGAGCATAAGCTCTCCCCTGAGCCTCCTTTCTCCAGGCTAAACACCCTCAGCCCCTCCTCAAAGGGCTTGTGATCCAGACCCTTCATAGCTCCCTGATACTCTTCTCTGGACACACTCCAGCACCTCAATGTCTTCCTTGGAGTGAGGAGCCCAGAACTGGATGCAGAATTTGGGGTGAGATCCCAGCAATGCCAAATACAAAGGGATGATCACTGTCCTGGTTCTGCTGGCCACACTGTTCCTGATCCAGGCCAGGATGCCATTGACCTTCTTGGCCACCTGGGCCACACGCTGGGTCATGTTCAGCTGCTGTCAGTCACCATCCCCAGACTTGTAGCATCGCTACAGGAAACTGTGACCCGTGTGTAGAACCTGGCACTTTGCCTTGTGGAACCTCATACAATTAGCCTGTTAGATTTACTGGTTGTTCCAGAAATACTGCAAGTTGCCCAAGACACATCAGCAGTTGAAATCCTGTTTTGGAGTAGAAATAACTAATCAGCTTAAACCTGGACACTGTTAAAAAAAGTACCCAGAGCCTACAAAGCCCTTGAGCATGAATACCATGGCACTTCTTCCTATTTTTGTACCTATCTAAAGTGTTGCAGACTCAGAAGAGTTGGGGGAATTTCTCTATAATTATTAACTAGGAAAATAAACTTGAAGGCATTACATATGTTTCTAAAAGAAGTGGAGAATGCTTGCAGCTAAAGCACTAATGGATTCTCGGACATGGGAACTGTTTTCAGGCCTTTTGTGTAAACTGTTTGAAGCGTCTATTTATTCAAGGAATAAGAAGAGAAGTGGTAGTTTTGGTCAGCAAAACCCTACATTTGCTAAGACAGTTATGGAGTCATTTTCCTGTTTCTCTTCTGTATGACTTTTTGCAAGGGATACTCATTTATCTTTCTGAAACTGATATAGAATTTGAAGAGGTGTTACCTTTTCATTGTAACAGAATATAAAAACCTCTTATTAAATTGCTGGCACTTTTGTCAAGATCCAGCATTGCATGGGGTGTATTAGGTTGGAGAAGCTGGTGTGTATTTTTCTTTTTGCAACAGCTACTTTTTAGTATCATGTGAATTATTAGATCCTTCAAAACTTGCTCCTTCCAGCTGTCACCGTAGTACACACTAATTGTGTGCTACTGAATAGTTTTCAGCTGTATGAGTATATTTTTCTATTCTTAAAAGATTGATGTACTGTTAAATAAATAATGAATATAGAATTCCATTTAACTGTCATCTGCAAAAATTCCCAGCCAACAGATATGGGGATTGAAAGAGGAGCTTTTAAGCTTTCTGGTTGTTCAAATAATTAAGACTGGGTTAGTGTTTGTGTACTGTATATGATAGCTCTTTGTTATTTTAAATGGATTAATTCTGCTCACAGGGCAGACACTATGCTAGTTGATGTTAATTGGCAGTATTTTTTTATAGTCTCAGTGACAAGAAGCTGAAAAGACGTGAACTCTTTTCTGCTCTGGCCTCACTGGTAACTTTTTTCAGGTCAGGGCTCCTGTTCATTAATAGTGTGTTTTCTGATATGCACCTGTATCTATTATATATCTGGTGGAAAGTGTGTTTTGTTCTTTTGTTTCTTCTGTTCCAGAATTTCCCACTTGGCATTTATTTCTGTAGAAGTTTTGGGAGACTAGTTGTGTGTGTTATAAGAGTTTACAGCTTCCAAGAAACAGTCTGAATCAAGTCAGTTCTGCAGTACTCTATCTGATACTCTATAACCACTTTAGAAAGCTCTGCCACTAACACCTGAGATATCAAGCTTTCCTCCTGAACTGAAGCATGATCCATTCCACTGTTTTCTTCTATCAGATGGTTTCCTGGTTAGAATATCTTCCTTTTTTCAGGAGCCATGTCTCCTTAGCATTTCTGGAGTGGGTTTGACTCTGCTAGGGATTTTTCTATAGCAATTTGTACAAAGAGCTTAATGCAGAAGCAACATACGCACATGGTGACTGCTTTGGAGTTCAGAATGTGTACTGATACTGGTGCAACCTGGAACTGGTATATCTTCTTTGCTCCTTCCTGGAAAGTGGCTTTCTGCTTGATTCTTAAGGCTACCTTTTATGCCCTCAAGATTTTTTTTTGTTTGTTTGTGTGTATATGTGATTAAATGAGGAGACAGTGGAGGTTAACCCTTTGATTCCTCAAGAATGTCAGCTTAGTAATAAGTATTTGTAGTCCTGAAAACATCAATAACTACTAGCGATTTCATGGGTACTTTTCTATGTGGCTTTTTCCATTTCATATTTCTTAACACTTGTGACATTCTGTTCTTAGAATTCAGCAATGGTATGAGAAAAATAAATTGAAAGATTCTGGTGCAGAACTGAACTGATCTGTTTTTGTAACATAGCAGTAAATCCTCTATCACAGTTAGGAAGGTATTTTTAAATAAAGATCTTAAAAGGAAGAGATAACTAAAAGTAAGTGAGATGTGGTTTGCTTTTTCATGTCTGTCTCAGATTTTTTGACTTTGAATGAGTCAACTTTTAACTGGCACAATACTAAAAGAGAAATATATTTTCTCTTTTGAGTGTTGTTAAGTTTAATCTTTGAAGGGTCTTGATACTCTTAGAAGGAGGAAGCAATGCATGCAGAATCTCAAGGATAATTTCTCATGGTTTATGAGAACAGTATATAAAGTCTCTCTAGAGTATTCATAACTTCCTTACAAATTGTCAAGATGAAATAGTTTGCTACAAATTCTCAGGTGCTAGAGACTTGCAGTGTTCGCAGGGTATTTCTTTTCATTACCTTCACCAAGAAGTACATGGCTTTCCAGTTGCATCTTCCATTAGAAGGCAAAAGATTTTCTATGTTAAATTATCCTAATGCAAGGTACTTGCTTATCCATGATGTGATTAAAATGAGCAGCCGATTTTTAAGCTTTTAAATGAGTGAACTCTGTTATTTGAGGATCCATAAGCTCTTTTTTAGTTTAGTCTCTGCATCAACAACTTTATAATGCTCTACAAAGCATCACCTTAAGAATGTACAGAGCTTTCTTCTGCTTTGCTACTGAGAAAATCCTGTCATTTCAAGTCACTGAAGGACAGCACATATCCAAGCATAGGGTTTATACATTGGACTGAATGCACATGGCCTGGGTATTTGGCTGTCAGAGAAACAAGTGGGACTTGTTTAAATATGTTAGGTGTAGCAAGTGGTGTTAATGTGGCATTACACTGATATTGATAGAAATAATCAGACCAGCAGTAAAAGCCTGAGGAAATCCCAGATGTATAGAGACAACATGCTACCTACTTATGCAGCTCGATGAAGATAAGCTGAAGCCTAAATGAACCTCTGCCTAATGTGACACCTGCTAACTTGGGCGCAACTTTTACCACCAGGCTCAACCTGGCCAAGTAGAACCATTTGAAAAAAACCAAATCTTAAAAATGCTTTTAGAGAGGTGCATAGATGTATAAGCTTTCTCAATTTCAGCTAAGGAATAAATGAGAAAGAAAGGAAGGATGTTCTCATTTTTGTATTTTATGCTCATAGGTATACTGTGAATAACTGGACTCGATTTTCTGTCTCATCGGTCTTTATTTAAGGCAGTTTCCTCATTCTATCACTATATATAGAATGCCTAAAATAAGGGCATGGGTACATCTAAAGCATTTCAGTGATACAGGAAGGTGTACACACACACAGAGGACTTTGCAGTGAAGGTGCAGTAAATTGTAATTTACTGCAAGTAAAACACAGTGCTTACAGTTTACCCAAGTACAACACAGCAAAACTGTGCCTTCCTTGCCATTGCAAACATGGGCTTGAGGCTACCACTAGCAGAAACAGGAGCTAAAGATATGATTGATGGGGGAAGGCGGCAGGTTGGCCTTTTTTTGTTTGCATTTCTAGTTTGCTTTATACCAAACTAATTAATTCTTAATAGCAGACCAGATCAGATGTTATATTACAGCTCTCATAAAAGCAAATTTTTGGCCTGGGTGGCATAGCTGCAGTGATAGTAAAGGGAATGTAAAAAGCAATGTGTCTTCTGCTTTTTTTTTTCTCTTGGGTTTGCTTCCATTCTTCTTTTGGATGATACAGAATTTCATGACCTTTTGCTCACTCAGGCAGACTGACCTAGTAAATGCCATTTTTGTAATTAGGGCTTATTAAAAATCAGCAGATTCAATAGCTAAGGTTCAATAAAAGAAAAGAGGTGTTAAAAGTTGTTTAAAGTTCTTATTGGACCAAGCAAAGCATTTGTCTAAGTTGCTTTTAAGTATCTTCTTATGAGCTCAAGCTATTCTCCCACTAATTTGGTTCCAATCTGTTCCGTAAAATACTGATTAGCAAGGGGGATATGTTGCTTGAACCACTGTTTAGAATATATGTGTTGTTGTTTCAAGACATAAAATATATTCCTAAAATGGAGATGTTAGGTTGTATTTTTTTTAACCATGAGAAGTTTCTCTATAATAGGAGTTACCAAAATATCTCCTGTTTGTTGAAAACATTTTTTTAATATTCACAGATTTGATGATATGCTGTTCTGAAGTTATCTGTTCTCTGAAAGATACTAAATTGTGCAGCTCAAAACTTAAATTCAAGCAATAAGTCATGGAGACAAACTGGCTTAACCATAATACTGCATTTCTAACATTAGATGAGTCTTATTTTAGAACACTGGGGTCTTGTGATTCTACTGGATGATACACGTGGAGTTGTTGGAAAGATTTTTGTTCTCAAACTATCAGCTAAAATAATTAACATTGCTCAGAATAGTATACAAGACCATGGTTGGACAGAAGACTGTGGTTATCTGTACCACTGGAACCTTGGCTGCTGGAAATTAATAGCATTCATGAGTTTGAGGTGCTTTTTAGGTTCTCTTTCCTATCTAAGTGTCTGTTATTGAAGTGTGATTCTTAAGTGTGAAATGGATTGGCATTAACCTAAGACTTTTCAGATTGCAGAAGGGCCCAAGTGTCCCTTAAAGGTTAAAATAATAAGACTTTAGTCCACTGCATGCCTGGATACGTGCTGTGGAAAATATGAATTGCCTGGATGAATTTATTTGCATTGGGTTAAAAAGTAAGAATGGAAGGGCTGTTTGCTTGACTGCCTTTAGAACCATAAGTTTACGGCCTTCTTCAAAAGCAAGTCAGAAGAGGGGAATTACTGAATAAAAGCAGCCTAGAATAGAAAGAGGATTTCCAGTCATATCCTATGGTTTCTGCTCTCTGAAGCAGTGCTGTTCACAGCATGGGCTCTTCAGAGCTGTAAGTGGAAGTAGGGGGAGAGCTGGGGAGACATGCTAGTGAAATCCTGCTGAACTGTTCAACATCACATCCTGCCTGAATCTTTATATATTGATTTCATTATTTCAATATTACTTTCTAACATTTATTTTAGGACAAGACCAGAGTTGTGTCTCCTATTATTGATGTAATTAATATGGACAACTTCCAGTACGTGGGGGCGTCAGCTGATTTAAAAGGCGGTATGTACCTGTACTGGAATACAGACTTTAAAAAAACCCATCAAGAATCAAAGCTCATAATCACTGCAGTTGTGGAATGGGCAATTAACATACTGTTCTTCCCTTTCATAGATCTAGTTTCAAGTTCTGTAGGTCACTTGCTTCTTGACTTGGATTTTAATTGGCCTTATTGTCCTCTGCTTTAAAAGTTCATCTTTATCATACTAATTCTTATAAGTTTATGCTGCCTTTTACCAATATGCAAGACTTGCTCCAAGGTTTGTAGGATTGTGTAAATGTGTCAGAAAAAGCTAATAGCCAGAGCTTATGGTTTTCTTTTTAGATAACACAGGCTTTAATTGCTTACTAGTTTAGAAGCCCATCAACAATGCAGTGTCTATGAGTTTTTTTTCAAGATGCTGGTTTACTTTAAAAATTAAACTCTTCTGAATAAGCAGAAGGTTTTGGAATGTGTTTTAAAAAAATAAATGTTTGTTAGCCATGATCTGTAATTGTGAAAACACTCACATGTGACCCATGAAAATTTGCAGTGTTTATAGTTTTGCCATTAAAAAAAAATACCCTGTTAAATTGAGAAGTACTACAATATCAATATGTCTAGGGAATGTAAAGTGTTGACAGCAAATAGCAGAATGACTTTTGAAGCCCGAAATAACAATAAATAAAAAAAATTCCTCTCATCTTGTTTCTCAAAGAGGGAGAAGGCAGCTACATGCTAAACTCCTTACTTATTACAGGTTTTTAAAACTTCTGTCAGTGCTAACAATAATATTTAAAATGGCTGTTCTCTACCCACTTACCCCCTTTTTTATAACTATTATTTGTAAATAATTGTTCCCGCCACCCTGGAAACCAAACTGTATGCATAAAAGGTGTTAGATGAGCCATGATATAAACATTAGAGTGGTGTTCTCAATGTCACATGGTTTTCTAAATGGACTTTCTTGAGTGAGGAAAGAAAAAACAGTTTCCAGTCCATTCTTTTAGGTTCTAGTCTCTAACTGCTCACCTAGGTTGTTACAGTGAACTAAAATAAAAGCAATATTTGCATAATGTTGCATTACATGTGCTACAACTTCACCAGTGATCTGGAGGTGAGAGTTTCTATATACTTTTAATTAATGGTTTGAAGTGACACCTACAGTGCATATATTCGCAGTATGCTAATGTGTAGTTCTGTGCTATTGTGTGTGCCAGTATTATTAAACCTTAAGGCCTTTACCCAATCTGCTCATTAAGCATTAACTACAGAAGTTCCTATACCATCATGTGGCTTTTATTGTTGTCTGCAGGAGGAGGAATTCTTTCTTTGAAACCTTAGATTGGTTGCTGCTGGGTTCATGCTAAATTCTTCTCAAGTGAAGTGGGAGAGGATTGAGGGATTGTTTCACTTGCTACTGCCCTTCATGCTTTATCTTTGAATCTACATTTCCAATTCATTTATCTATTACTTTTTAGTACTCATTTTTTCCCTTTTTACAGTATAAGGGATTGGGTTTTTCATCTTTTTAAGGCGCATGAAGCCTATGTACTTCTGATAGAGGAGTGAGAAACTGTCTTTTTTTAACATTAATAGATATTTTGCACATAGTAGTGTGCCAAGCTATTTGAGGGTCAGTTGAAACGTAAACAATATATTTCTTGTCAGTTCCCAAAAGACAGATTGCCATGCTAGAGGCACTACAGCATTTGGCACCACAGGACATTTTCACTGGGGCCAAGTCTAAACATGGAAACTGAGCTATGCTTTCAACCTTAGGTAAAGTGTCTGTGGCTGGAGCATGGAGAGTTGAAACAGCTGGGACAGCATTTGTACCTGGTCTGTCTTGAAAGGACTTAATTACCCAAGATGAGCAACATAGCCAATTGTACACGTTTTTTTTCTAAGTAGACACATCTGAAGCAAATCTCAAGTCTGGCCAAAACTAAATTTATGCACTTCATGTTACAGGCTTTTTGTTTGGTGTTTGGTTTTGTTTTTTGTTTTTTTTTGGGGGGGAGAGGGGGTGGGTGTTGCAAAAGTGTTTATGCCACCCTGAGAAACACTATCATTACTGGAACAAGCTGTAGTTAACTGAGATCTAATAGTTTAGAGTATGCCTCTGCTGCAGTTTACACTGGCTAGAGTTTCATAGTGGATATGCACTGTGTTTAAAAATACTCCTTTTACAGAGTTACTGATACTATCTCATTGAGTGCAGATTTTTCCCAGAGTCTGTGAAAATGGAGATGGAAAATCAGTTTTGAATGGGTAGAGACTTTATACACTTGTTCAGTTTGTGAGAGTGCTATGTTCCAAAAGAGACCCCTTGTGTTCAGTGGAGTACACAGTAACTCTCTCTCACTGCTGCTGCTGGAAAACAGTGGGTTTTTCAATTTCTCCCAGATGCAAGTAATTTTGCTGGCTATCTGGGATGAAATGCAGCTTTTTAACTGCATGGAAATATTGGAACTCATTTTACTCTTCATGCTGGAGGCTTTGCAGTACTGTGTGTTGTAGCTATTTTTCAGTTTTGCTACTTGAAATTTTGGAGCAGTTTGACAGTCTTTCATTTTTACAGTGCAATGCTTCATGAAATACTCAGAAGGAGCTGCCATGCATGCTGTAAAGACTGTTTAGAGTAATTTCTGTATTGTGTGTGATAAGTATCTCGTGAGTTAAAATGAAAACTGCGGAGTTTTTGCCTTCCTACGTCAGTCATTGCTACGCACCTTTACAGATGCAGACAGGCAGTTTGTAGGGCTATAATTGTTGTCTGTTTACATTAGCTTTTTTCTCCATTTCCTCGCAAAGCTTTATATTGGAGAATGAAAACTATTGACATCTGTGCACCAGAAATCTGGAAATGATTCATTACATGACCTCATAAGATCTAAATGTGTTTGGCAGCAGGCAGAGTGTACAAGGCTTATTTGCTAGGTGTACTGGGAGAGGGCTATGGGTCTTGTGCAGTTTTTTAATAGATGTTCATAATTATGAGCATAACCCAGCACAAAAACTGTTATGAAACTGTTTCCTGTAGGAAGTTTGTCCTACACCAGCTTTGTATCATCAGCTAAAAGAGGTAATTTAATGGCTCTAATTAGAAAGCTGCTACAGGTGACCTACTGATCTTGTCTGTTGTGGTGATCTTTATGTTCTGTGCTTTACTCACGACAGGCCCAGACCAGTTGTTACTGGGTGTTCACACTTACATGTATATGCATAAGGAAAGTAAGATTTTGGTGCTCTGGCACTTGCCTCAGGTTTAAACAATGATGCACTTAAAAAACAAAATGGGAATGTACGAAGTTAAATGAATGTTGAGAAGATAATGGAACCTACATAGCTCGTTATGACCTTCATGATAGAGAGCTCTTGCTGTTAGAGTACCTTCAAAAGTACTGCATAAAGCTTGTGTAAATGTAAGTTTTGAGATCACTGCTAGAGTGGAAATGCAGTAAAGATGGTTGGGAGCATTTGTAATTGCTGCAAGATCATCATATGATCTTTTCTGTTTGATGTAAGGATGCCACTTGGGTTTCCTACTTTGTGAAATAGATGAAGACAAGAGATCTGAAGTTGGTGGTTGAGATTTACTCTTTTTCCTTTACCTTTCATCTGGACTCCTTCTTGTTTGTTTTCTACCCAGAATTTTGCAGAAGTGTAAATTTTTAATTTTAGTTACAGTTCCTCGTGTTTCTAGTGAGCATTATATTACTACAAGTTGAAAGGTGACCACAGTAATTTTAACATCCTTCTTTTCTTCTTGAAGGCTTTGACTGGAACCTTGTATTCAAATGGGATTACATGACACCAGAGCAAAGAAGAGCACGACAAGGAAATCCTGTTGCTCCCATCAAGTATGTCTGTATCATCACTTCTCAAATAGACTGTAGTTTGCAAATAAGTAAAGTTAGAAATCATCTCATCTGAGTCTGAAAGAATATCTTTACTGTATCTTATATCAATATTGAAACCTCATTAATGTATATGGAGCGTTATGAGTCTCTCAGAAATAAATGGTATTTTAAAAATAGTTTAAAACACACTAGTAAATTATTTACCCTTAAGTGGATGTCACTCTGTTTAAAGTTCGTGTATTTTGAGGACTAAAAATACAGCATCAGTTTTAATGTTTTATTGCTGGCACAAATTTCCACCCTTTAAACAAGAAGCTTGTGAGCCAAACAGAGATTTGGAAGCTGCCTCAGGAGGTGGTCATGACCAGAGAAATGTGTGGAAACAACATTTGAAGTGATAGATGCAAAATAAGTTGCATTCAAAAACACTGCCAGTTTTTTCAAGGAGATATTATTTTTGATGTACATATAATAATTTACCCCCATGTTCATGTTCTGTAAGCATTTAATTTAATTTTTCTTGTTTTTTTAGGACACCCATGATAGCTGGTGGATTATTTGTGATGGACAAATCCTACTTTGAAGAACTAGGGAAGTATGATATGATGATGGATGTTTGGGGTGGAGAAAACCTAGGTATGTGTATTATTTACCTTCTGATCAGCCTTGAAAGAAAGCTGGTTTCATCATTTCCTTTTCTGGCAAGGAGTCATGGTTTTCCTGATTTTGTGCAAAGACAGTTAAAACCAGTATTTAAATTTCATACACATTATTGGCAAAATCCAAAACATTTATTTCAATGAAGTAATTATAACAAATTAAAAATTATATGCTAAATATGAAGGAATAAAAGTATTAGCTCATTGAGCAGTGACTTTTTTTGTAATGGAAGTTGGTAAAAAAGTTGGAGGCTGTAGATAGGCAATGAAATACAATAATGTTTACATGCTGACAGCTGAAAGCATGTTTTTAAGATGTTAAAAACATGTTAATTTAATCATGAAAAGTAGATTACAGGAGAATGAATTTAATGTTATTACATACACCTTAATAAATCAATTAATTTAGCTGACTGAAGAATTAGCTGTTTCTGAACTTTGCCAGTAGTATGCTGCCTTAGTGAATTTTGTAATTTTATACCCCTTCTTTAGCCCTATGTGATATTAATGGTTGAGAAGGCATTTTTTCTGTAAGTCCTTTTTTTCAGATTAATTCAAATCTCACATGAGTGAGATTTAGGCAAGAGGGAGGAGGGGCTGAGAGAACTTGTGCTTTAGCCATTCTCCTTTGACTTGGTGGTAAAATCTGGCATTAGTAGGGGTTTTTTGGTCTATTTGCGTCACAGTATTATACAAAGATTTTCTTTAGTTAAGACCAGTATTTTGTGTTAAAACAAAAAATATTTGAAAGGCACAGGATTCTGCACCTCCTCAAGAATTCCAGTTTGTCATTAGTTTAGTTTTTCTGCGGTAGAGATGCATCTCAGACATTCCAAGTAGTGTGTTTTAGGAACACTTCTAAGCATAGAAGCTTCTCTACTGCACATGCTAGCTGCAAAATCCTGAAATACCTTGAACTTGCAAAAACCCACGAGTATTTTGAGTTACTGAAATCTGCATATGCATTAAGCATATGCTTGGCCTACAAGGAAATGTCTGCTGTATGGAGACGTGGTAACCATGTGTTTAATGCTGCTGTAAAGCACTGAAAAGTTGGAAGTGGTGTCCCTACAGTCCTGTCTCTGACCATCCTATGCAGTACTCGGAGAAACCCTACAGGTATTTCCAGCAGTTACATTCCATGTTTGTCGTCTCACTATTTTGGCTGTGTATTGCTAAATTGTATTAATGTAAACATAATAATTTTTCATTTTTTATATGTCCTGAAAAGTTATTGGATAAATTTAATGCAGCAATACTCTTACTCACTCTGAAAACCACTTTAGCCACTCGAGCACTTAAATGTTTGATTAGTTACAAGCATGTTCTTGAGAAACTGAGGTTTTTTTCTGAACACTTAGCAACTACTTTTATGCTTTGATAATCGAGGCCTTGATAGCAAGAAAGGTTACAAGCAACGGTGCCTCTCTCAAGGATGCCAAGAGATGTTTATGTTGCTTCTGCTGCATTCAGTTCCTCCCCCTCCATGGGAAGAAAATGGAGACGTAGGGGTGCCTGAAAAGTAGGCAGAAGGCAGCTAATGGTTTCTTCCTAGCTGTCAGACTAATTGAAGATGAGTAGAAATCACATGGCAAATTATTTAATTGGCAATAAATGGCACATGCACCAGATAACAGGAAATCTGTGAAGTGCAGCTCGAAATCCAATGTGCACACTTGTCAGGCCTCTTTACTCTCAGGCATAGAACTACATCGGGGGCGCGGTGTTACATGCAAATAACCTGCTAAATGGACTAGCAAAATAATTCTGCACATCATATTCATTTATAAAAGCTAGCCTTTTTCCTTCAAGCGTGTACAAAGCAGCTGTTATATGAGGTTTTGTTCACATGTCACTATCAATTTGACAAATTTTAAGATGAGCCTGCAGTATTTTCTCTAAATTGCCCAAATTACCATGAAGATAGGTACATTCTCAGACTGTTGCTAAATGTAACTGGTAATGCGTGTGTGCTGTTCACACACAGTGAAAAGTGGATTAAGGTTAGTTCAGTCTCTTCTCCAACTCAGAAATTCCAATTCTCTCTATGTTTATGATGCTTTTTGATAAGCTTAGGAGAATTGAAGTACACCAGAGAAGTGGGTGGACCATGAGAAGGTTTTGATCTAATTTGAAAACCTAGGCTTTTCTTACTAGTTTTCCTAAAATCAGGGAATGAGTAAGACATTCCTTATCTTCTATATTGATGACACACTCAATAAAAAAAAAACCAAAATTTGTTAGAGCTGTAACTTGGTCTCATACAGAATTTTTGATGTGCAGCTTATGCCTTTTCATTTAAAGACTGCCCATTGAACTTACTCTGATAATAACATTTCTTTTCCTACTGTTTGAGTATAACAAAAGAGATGTCTTAAGGGAGTTTGTGGGGTTGTTTTGAGTTTATGTGTATTCTTTTTTCTTTTCCATTGCAGGCTTTAGGAGCCATGGTTGGTGCAAATAAGAATTAGTTTGCTTCTCCCTATATTCTAGTCCTTTGCTCCCTTTCCCAGTTAGCTATTTTACATAATGTTCACTTTTTTTGAGATTCTTCACAATTTAAGGTGTGGAAGGTGCACAAAAGTTAAAAATTAGTTTTGTCTGTTGTCCTATGTGAATTCAACTGGATAAGTTACTGTCAAAGAGATGTCATTCATGGGTTTGGGAGTATGAGATATGTATAGCTTGAACTATGTTGACTGTCAAGGATTTGTGAATATGGCCATCAAGGAGAAAGGCAGTTAATTTTGCAGTGCCAACTGCCAGTTGAAATCACACCACCTCTTTTTATTTACTTTTTTTAAGTTTTCCCTGGACATGCAATCAAGACGACATGTTCTCTAACTTATGGTTGAGGAGTTTTATATTTGTTCTGTTTTTTTCAAATTTAGTTTTGGAACAAATTCTGCTATTATTACTTCTCTGTGTGTGGAGGAGGGCTTCTGAGGGAAGAAGGCATGCCATCATAAAAGATGACATAAAGACACTTTAATTTAGAGCCACTTTTTTTTTTTTTTAAACCTATAGAAAGACACTGAGTAGTTATAAAGAGGCTTGAAACTAAGGCTATCTGGTAGCAGCTGTTAGACTAAAGGGGGAATCATCAAAATTGAAACAGTGCTGCTGGAAGCACCCTTCTTTCTGCATTTATTTGGAATTAATGTGGAAAAGTTCTCTCTCTAGGTGACTTCTGCTATCAAAGGTAGAAGTTGAAAAAAGTGTCTAAATATTTCTAAACCTTTTTGTCCTCACTAGCTGTCTCAGATCATTAGTTTGGCTTAGAAATGTACTGTTCATAACCTTCAAATTATAGAAGTTATGTTTTTATTTGGTCTATCCTCAACTCAACATTGACTTGATTAACTCCTTCCACTGTTTGGGAATGTTTGTTTATTTGCTGTAATAAGTTAGCAGCTAAATCTATTGATTATTTTAGTTTGCTTTGATTTCACTGTGTTATTCCATCTTCAGCTGAAAAAATTTATTATAAACTAAGTCATTAATTTATTTGTTAAATGAACCTACTATTGTTATTATTTATTCAGATAAAGCATATACACCTAACTCAATGGCAAATTGCAGCAGGATTTATAGGTTTGGGCAATGCTGGTAACTTCTGATAAGAGAAGATACACATTTTGCTTCCAAGATAGTATGTTTATTTCTGCTGAGCTTGCAGAATCATAAATGCTTAGATATATGCCTTTGTTTATCCTAGAATTTGTTAAAAAAAACGTCTTGCTTGATCTTCTCAGCACCAATCACTAAAAGCCTTCTCTGTAAATTTAATACAAAATAATGGTATTTTATGACATTGGTCTTTCATTCATTAAAAAATTAATTTTTAATTTCAGAGATCTCATTCAGAGTTTGGCAATGTGGTGGGAGCCTAGAAATCATCCCTTGCAGCAGAGTGGGTCATGTATTCCGCAAACAGCATCCTTACACTTTTCCCGGTGGGAGTGGTACTGTATTTGCAAGGTAAGTGCTAAATAGCAGTGGTTTGGATTTCCTCAGATGATCAGCAGGTGGCAGTAATTTCATTTCAGGGATCTCATCTTTGGAAAAATTTGCAGTATTGTCTATCATGGTAAAATATTAATTAATGAAATTAGTTAAAAACTAATGACTTTGAGTCAGCTATGTATATTGAGAGAAGAACCTGAGAGCTGAGAGAGGGGAACTTCTGGTGGACACAGACTGAGAATCTCGAAAATAAGGAAATGCTTAGCCTGGCATTTCATCAATATTGTGTTTATTTGATTTTTAAAGAAGGCTTTATTTTCAAAACTCTCATGAAACTTCATTATGTAGAAACAGTTTAATAGTTCACTAAAAGCCAGAATACACTAACTTATGAATATGCTTTGCTTGCTTTTCATTAATACATGATCAGGATGTGAAATGCAGATGATTATGGAGACTGATTTTCAGTATTTGTACTAGTCTGTTGGCAGCTTGGTTATCTATAATATTTGCCTTTCCTGTGCTATGTTTAAAAATGCATTTTCTGTAGACCTAAGAGATTGCCATTTTAAAGGCTTAGCGTAATATGCCTGCTAATTTTGCTGTTGATACCCATGCATAACAGTAGCTGGAATACTGAACTGTCTCCTCAGTTTCTCTTCTACAAAGTGAGAACAGCAGTGCTGATTCATGTTCATAGTGGTTTTGACTTAATATGGATGAAAGTATTGCATGAATGTACTGAAGGCATTTTTATCAAGGCTGTAGCTGAAAAATCACTGTAGGATTTGGTTTAGAGACTTGAACTTGATGCTCAGGGGGCTGAAGAAGTACAAGTCTTGGCTAAAGGTTCTGTGGGCTAAGAGCTGGAAATAAAATTGTTTATTTACCCTTGAAGGGATGTGCAGCCCAAACTCTGTTTAACATGAAACAACACAGAGTGCAGATGTACTTAAATTCATAAGAATGTTCTAAGCTGCTGATATTTTTGGACTTGTGATTCACTTTAGACTGAGGAATCTCCTTAGGGTGTAGTTCTTCCCTTCCATGCTGGTTATGCCACCAAGGTGACTTTAATGAATTTAATATCTGCTAAAATAAAGTCACTGTCCTGTTTCTTTCAGTAGTTATAGCTGGCACTGTAGTATTTTTCTTCTTTTTCCCCATTCTTTGAGATGTATATTTTATGATGCAGTGAAAAATGGGTAATAGTACTTAGATGAAAACAAAATCTAGCAATGGAATGTCCTCAGTATATCACACCTCTGTTCCAGCATTTATAGTGTGCATCAGGAGGGTAGAAAGCTTTACCTTTCAAACTGCATTATGTAAGCTTAGGATGCAACTGGTTTAGTTTAATGAGGTTTTGAAATGACAGTGTCATAACAAGGAGCATGGTTAATAAAAGTGAATAAATGTATGAATATACTGTGCAGTTTTCCATGTAGCTTTTCTGTCTTTGGGGTGTTGCCAAGATACTGCTTTTCTTGTGCTGTAAGTAGCTTTCTTGGATGTCAAACCAATATCATGGGATGCCTTAAAATAAATTTTAGCAATGAGGGAATGAGAAACCTTAGGTAGTAGGATATCCTTATGATACAGGTGTTACAATACAGATGTGTATGAGACCATAGTGCCAAGAAACTTGGTGCATGGAATCTGTGCTGGTGGTGCAGTTGGGACATGTTGACTTTTGCCATCATCTGTCTCTTGGCTGTAGGCAGCTTGTTCTGGGCTTGTCTATTTTTAGCTGGCTAGTCAGCATGCACTGCCTTTTGGCGCCCAAACAGGTTGGTAGTTTTGGGTTAGAGACTGGGAGTCCTGTTTTGTGAGAGGGGAGAGCACATCACCACGTCCTGGCTGTGTGCAGCTTGTGTCCAGCAGGATTTGTGTGCCCTAACTCAGCGCTCCAGATGAGCCAGTGAGCCTTGCAGGCCCCAGTCTGCTCCAAGCAAAGCTGTTTCTGATCTCCCAGTGCTCTGTTTCATTAACTGGCTGAACGTCGAGTACAGCCCATGCTGTGTTTCTCAGCGCCCTGAGTTCTTTGGGGCCTTGCTAGTTCAGGCAGTTCTCAGCATCTACACAGTGCTTGTATTTGTGTCATGCGAAGCCTGAGCTGTTCTTCACCCCTGAGTATGGGGCAGTGGGATACGGGCCGGCATTCTGGCCCTGAAAGTGCCTTTGGAGTCATTAAACCCTGGCAAACCGAGCAGTTCCTCTCTCACCACCAAAATCTGCTTGGCCTGTGGGCAGCCAAGCTGGCTGCTGAGCAGGCAGGAGGGCCTGAGTGACTGACACTCACACATGCCTGGGAGACTGCAGGTGAAGATACACTCACATAGCTTCCAATCTGAATCTAGTCGGATTTTGCTTACAACAAATTAAAGGAATCTTTGCAAGAAAAGAAATCAGTTCTCAAACAAATTATTTAGGTCTGTCTTGTGAAATTTTTATTCCCCACATCCTTTTTGCTCAGCAACCTTGAAAGCCTTCTCACTTAATCCTGACTAAGTTTTGTCTTTTGGAAAATCATATTAAAGAAGTTATTGGCTGACTGAGTTCACTCCAGTTGCTTTAGATTACCTTTCTGCCAAATGTAAAATAAGCTTCAGAGCATGGCGGTCACAAGTGAAATAAGAGTTAATTTTCAAAGCATAAAATTATGAACAATAAAAGTAAATCAGTTTTACATGGAATCCAGGGGGAGGGAAAAAGCCACTGGACCCTGTTGCAGTCCAAAAGGAAATTTAAAGACACTAATTACATAAATACAGGAATTTTAGTTAGAGATGTGTTTGAAGTAAGACATTTGGGTTAGGGATTTTTTTTCTACATTTTTTATAATAATCAATCTCTCTCAAATATTAAAACATTTCCTCTTACCTCAGCTGCAGAAGATTTGTTTGTTTCATAGCCTTAAGTATTGTGACAGCTTGTGTCTCTTTGGAACTTTGAATGCTGTACTGGTAGAAATGGGATGAAGAGTGGAAATATTTTGCCTGTGTTACATTTTTGAAAACAAATATGCTAAAAGACATTTTTTAATATTGCCAGTTGTTGAAATATTTATGTTTCCAATTAGCTTGCATTATCCAGGTGAATACTCACTGAATGTCTTCTGTCAAGTTTACTCTTGTAAAAAGATCAGCCAAACATCAACTTAATATATTCCATGAAATTTGCAGAAAGAACTGAAAGACGTGTGTTAAATTCTGGATGAAAACCTAAAGCAGTGATGAGTGTGAAAAAGACGTAACTTTCATTATAAATGCATTGATCTCAGTTATGTCTAATGGTTTTCTATTACTTGGGTCTTTTATAAGGAGTCTTCTGCCTGACTTTGGGCAGCTGACTGTGTGGTACTGGGAAGGGTTAAAATCAACCTGAGGAAAAATTTCATGATTTAATTGCACCTAGAGAAAATATAACCCATGTGTTTCATGTGATTGTCCCTAGAAATACACGCAGGGCAGCAGAAGTCTGGATGGATGAGTACAAAAATTTCTATTACGCAGCAGTGCCTTCAGCCAGGAATGTACCTTATGGCAAGTAAGTCACAAGTGCTTCTTTGCCCTGTTTGTTTATTCTTCATTACATAGCACCTTCTGAGGTGAAAGCAGTGCTAAATCTGATGTTGTCTCTTTAAGGTATGTTTCTATAGTTCTACTAGTCTTGAGTTTTCTGTGTAGTCCATAAAATACATGAGCACAACAGCCTGACCTGGAAAACTCCTTTTTGTTTTTTTCCCCTCCTCTAGTATTCAAAGCCGAATGGAGCTCAGAAAGAGACTTAGCTGCAAGCCTTTTAAGTGGTATCTTGAAAATGTTTATCCTGAGTTACGGTGAGTTTTGGCTGACACAGAGTTCACTTGGTGTTTTCTTTTTTGCCCTCCCCAGAAATGATTGGTTTCTTTCTCCATCCCTGGATGTAAAGGATGTGTTTAACTTTATCTGTGAATGCAATGCCTCATGCAGATTTACTTATTTTTTTTTTAATAGTACTGCTCCTAAAGACTAGTTTTTTCCCCAGTTAGCTGTTTTTTCTACTTATGTCAATTAAAGCTGCAGTATTTTACAAACAGTAAAATACAGAACAGTGTCCAAAGGACTGAACTTACCTGAGCCAGAAGTTAGTCTCCTACACAAGCCATTTGCTCAAAAGCACCTATTCTGTATCCTGTTGTCATCTCTTTAAAGCTTCTGCCTAAGCCTAAGGACCTGCCTAGTTAAGTGAGGAGACTGAATCTCATTGTGGTACAAATGATGACAGGCAGCAGACAAGAGGGCCTTGTGTGTTTGGTAGACAGGGGTAGATTCCTAAGACTCTAAGAGGCTGAGATTGCTGCTCCTTGTCTCCTTTATTCTTGTCACTGAATAAGCACTGACTTTTGGGAAGAGCTGAGAAGAGGGAAGTGTGAGATGACACTGCTAAGAGTTTATAACATGAACACATCCTAACTTATGAAAAAATCCTCAAAAAGAAATACTTTTTGAAAGGATAGAAAGATTTTGGTTAAATAATCCATTAAGAAATATGTTGGTCAGATCAGAGCCCACTAACTAGTCTGATAACTGTCAGTTATATAGTTGGTAGTGTAGTGATGTAAGATATTGTGTGTATCTTGTGAGAATACTTGAGGTTTTTTTTCTGGGGCCGCTTAATGTCATTGGTGCCATTGGTAACTGCTAGTGGCATACAGGCTTGAGATGCAAAAATAACACCAGCTATTACAGCCCCAGTGCAACATGTGCAGAACAACACACACTAATGAGTCTCATAAACCAGGGTGACACTGAGGAACTAAGTTTTCCTATATTTTCTCTTAAAAGTGCCTGAGGATATTTGGTTTTGTTTAATCTGTGAGAAAAAAATGTCTCTCCTGGAAAATGTGCTACCATAAGCATTACTTATATGTAATATTGTCTTGTTCTGTCATCCCTCGTGCTCATTCTGCTGGCTCAAATTATTATATTATAGTCAAAGGTTTTTAAAGGCTCTGATATGCCTTTGTTTCACTGCTCAGCATGAACTCATGGGCTCCACCCACAACTGTACTTTGCTGAATGAACTAGCCTAGGTATTTCTATGCTAGGAGTGTACTTTGTGCAACCATTAGAAAATAGATATCAGAAAAACTTCTTTCTTTTTTCAAATTCCTAACCCCTTTTTTAACATTTCAGTAAAAACAGTCTGAGAAACGTAGAGTGTCCTATTTCTGCCACAAGCTATGTTGCCTGGAAAGACAAAAGGACTTGATGAGCTAACTAATAACATTAGGCTTTGAGTCACTTTAAATGATAAGTCATCTTTAATTTGATTTTTGTGCTGAGTTTTTATGTTCATCCTCCTCTGGTACTGTGTGTGGTAAGCTTGCAAGTTTACTCATGCTTGATGAATTAATGATTAGATAATAATCCTGATGATAAGCCTCCCCTGAAAAGATTATTGAGATTTCCAGATGATAGGTATCACTCATCCTTAACCTCTCATGTTAAAAATAAGTATTTTTACAAAAAAGGAGTTTAAAAAGAAAACCTAAAAAAAACCTCCCAAACAAACCGAACTGAATCAAGCAGATATTTCTGGTTTTGTTTTAGGGTACCTGATCATCAAGATATAGCCTTTGGAGCTTTGCAGCAGGGTACCAATTGCCTTGACACTTTGGGCCATTTTGCAGATGGTGTTGTTGGAGTTTATGAATGTCATAATGCCGGGGGAAACCAGGTCTGTATGCCATTAATTGTGTTTTCTACAGTAAGTCTTAAACAAAACAAAGTAAGTGAAGCTAAACATTTTAACTCGAGCAGTTACTGTGTACTGGTGAAAGATGTATCCCAACCAGCACATCAGTTGTTGTAACAGATTGGCTAAAAAGCTTCTCCCTCAAATATAATTTTGCATTTTCAGGATTAGAATCTGAGCCCAGAGATTCATTAGTGAGCATCACATTATCCCCTTCCTTTGTCACTATTAATATTTGCTTTTGCACTAGAGGCCATAGCTTCCTTCCCAGGGGGTTTGTACTTGCATAGAAAGCTTTTTTTTCAATGAACTGGTAGTTAACTTTTTGGGGGTGATTTTTACTTCAGAAAATATTGATTAATGCAACCATAAGGCCTAAGGTCAGCAAAGCAAAAGAATTCTTTGCTGTGCTGCACTATTAGTCATTTACAGTTTGCAATAGTGGTATATAAAAAATTCTGTCATAAATCCCCATTTGGCACCTCTAGAAAACAGAGGTGCCTAAATGTTCACTCACAGCAAGGGGAATATTTTAACAAATCCTTTTTAATCCTACTCCTAAACTAATTGCAAATGTGTCAGATCTGTAAATGAGAGCATTAATTATTTTAAAGAATCTATTTATGCAGTTGTGACTTAGTTATCATTCATGAAATACACACAGAGGTTCTCACTGCTTTGTGTGCTGCTTTGTCACTAATTCCTTGTCAGATTAAACCTGACTTTAAATCAAATGTAATATTAGTGTGTCAAGTACAGCTATTAAAAGAGAAGGCTGACCAATTAAAAACTACTCTTGAATAACTGTCAGAAGCTTGCTCTAATTAGGAGAAAAACCTAAAATAAGATGAAGCCTAAAATGAAGTGATTTCCTGGAAGACAATTGATGACAATTCATTCAAATAGACATGGGAGAAATGCCTCCTTTCCCCTATCATTAAAGATAAATTATCTGTGGATATCTTTATGAAAGTACTGTCATCTTTTCAGAAACCACAGTGGATTTTTTTGGAGAAAGGGTAGATGTGTCACAAGTGCCTCGGAGCAGAAACCTTAGAATTTTCTGCTGATGTTGTGTATTCTTTGTAGATACAAAAAGTTATCTTCCTCTTTCAAACTCCCCTCCCCTGAATCTGACCCTCTTCTTTCTATGTTGTTTCTTCTGTGGCACTGACCTTGACAAACCAGTATGCACTTCCTCTGAACAAATACTGCTGAGAGGACAGGTTGAGGCAGAATGGGTCAAAACCAGGTGTTATGTCCAAGAAGAACTAGTATTAGGCTGAAAAAAATAATGAAATGGGGGGAGAGGGATAGGGACCAAACCACAATCTTTAGATCTGTACTTTGTGTTTTGCACCTTACTCTTATCAAGAGGTTCTTTGGGGAGTTAAGGGCACTCAAATGTTATAGGCTGTGGCAATCTTCTTGTGTAACTTGAGGAGTGTACTCTGTTGTAAGTTCAACACATCTTAAAATGCAAAACCTAAGTAAAAATGAGATTTCTGCCCCCCTTTTCCCCTGCTCTCCCCTCCACCAATTTTCCCCTGCTCTCCCCTCCACCAAGTTGGTAGAACTCAGTGGTAGTTGTGCACCTCTGGAGGGCTGAACAGCTTCTGGTGTGCCTGACAATATGAAAATATGCAGGGTTGTGATAAGGAGCAAAAGGTAAAAGCAAATGCACTTAGGTGTGAGGGAAAAGTTTCAGGTTAGTTAAATCTACTAACTTTTTATTTTTGATTTGATTTTCTCAGATATTCCAATTTTTGCATAAAGCTATCCAATTTCTAGCCTATGCCCTGAGCATATGCACTGCTTGCAATTTTTCTTCTCCTCTGGTGTAGTGGAACTTGTTCCATTTTATCTCCTTTATGGTCACAGTTACTGATCAGTGGAAGAAAGCATCTATACACTGTGTTTCATAACATGAAGAGCTATCATGTAGATGTTTCCAGCAACAGAGCTTGGAGCTTTTATGAAGCATCTGTACTTTAGCTGTTAAATGTGTTAACTTCTTGCATTGTTTCTGTTGTGGCTGGGGCTTGTACAGCCTTTTGATGGAATGGTGAAGATGTATAAAGGCAATAATTTCAAGGCTCTAGTTCTGACTGCAGGGTTCTCAGACTCAAGTTTTACTACATCCCTGGTAGTATTTCCAACTGACATTTTTCAACATAAATCTTATCAGGGAAGAGTTCAGGGCCATTTGTAATTCCTGATAAGCTCTGAAAATAACTTGATTCATTCCTTCAGTTGTTAGGCTAAAAATGTGGCAATTAATATTTTATTATATATTAATGGTTCTTGTTGACATCTTATAAACTAGACAGAACTGAGAAGGCAAGTAATTTCACAGTCATCTGAGTTTAACATACTGAGAGTAAAAGGAGAAGTTATCAGCTGAAGAGTTTGGAAGACAAAGGGGTACATGGATTTATCCTGGCTTTGCTTTGTTTTCCACAGTTGTCATCATTCTAGTGCTTGTAGGATACAGTACCCATCTAGTGGCTTGGGACTTGTATGATTGTGATTATTTGTAATCTCTTGGGTTGCAAGTTCTGACAGTGCTCTGAGTATTTCTTCCCAGAGAGATTTAGTAATTGTTAATTCTGCTGAGTTGCAAAGTAATTATACATTTATTTTATTTCTAAAACACTGATCATGTGCAAAATGACATTTGAATGTTATTTAACATACAGGCTTGGCCCTGTATGTCTAAGGTTTTGTATTATACAACTCTAAATCCTCTTTAGTTGTTCGAGAGAAGCTAATCATGTCATTTTAAGTAGTTTATAAGCATGATTTGGATAATTAGCCTGGCTTTAATCAAGTGGCTTCTGTCCTCAAAGGATAGTTAGACAAATGGAGACAAATGTGGACCCTGGAGACCAAACTTGAAAGGAGAGAGGCATATGGAGAGAGTCTGAACATCAATGCAAGATCAGGCTCTGTGTGACAAGATGCTGAGATCAAACAAGCTGGGCATCAGTACATACAGAACAGCTTTTCTTTGCTCTCTGTTTAATAGTTGCGTACTTAAATACATTTATTGGAGATTCTGTTGCACATCATGCCTTGGATGGGAGGGAACATTCTCTCTATCCCTTTTGTGTATTGCTTTCTGGTGGCCTTTATTGTATTAAGAACTGCTGTTTCCTCCCTGTGGTCCATGTGCTTTGTTCAGTGTGTGGGCAGAGTGGCCAGTGGTGCTGCAGACCAAGATTTAAGGTTTTCGTGTGTGTGTGTATATATATATTTACAAATGTAGAAATTTTCCACGTAGAAGACAGTGGAAAGGTGTAATACACACACACAACACACACACACCACACACACCACACACACACATACATGTAAAAATGAGCATCTAACTAAATCAGCATTTGGAGGAGCATCTTCCGCGAGGCCGTGTGACTGCCTGCAGCAGCTGTGTAAAGCCAGCAGAGGGAGCAAACAGCAAGCTCAGCCCTGAGCTGATGTGGGAACACCAAAGCAATTGGAATTACTGTGTCTGGAAAGGACTTTCCATCTCCTGCCCTGTGCGAGGCAATGAACTGTTCTAATGCTTGTACACAGCTATTTTCAGGATTTTAACCTGTGCTGTATATGCAGAGGTAGCATGTGTTAACATACACAATTTTGTACATTTTTTGTTTCTTCCTTTTTTGTAGGAATGGGCCTTAACAAAGGACAAGTCAGTGAAACACATGGATTTGTGCCTTACTGTTGTGGACAGAGCTCCTGGTTCACTAATAAAACTTCAGGGCTGTAGGGAAAACGACAGCAGACAGGTTAGTATGTCATGATTGCACTCTGCAAACAGTGGGGGAAACAAAGATGGTGAATAAACTGCACTGGTGATCATATAGAGCCTCTATAGGCTCTACTTTTACTGTTGTTTGTGTGTGTGAAGCTAGGATTCATGGTGTCATAAAGGCAGAGTAAGCTTTATCCCAACAGGAGCCTTATGTAAAGGTTTCACCCACTCATGTGTAACAGTGTTTAACAGCCACGTGTGTCTTCTGAAAGAGTTTATATATTCCATAATGTCTTTTTGAAAGGTCTCACTCAGTGAAGTTTGAGTATTATGTATTCTGTGTCTCAGAAGAATGTGGTTTGGCTTGCTTTCTTTTCAATTGGGGCCTGTTTATAGCATCACTAGACTCCTTACATTCATTTTTATCAATGCAGCATTGTAACTTCATCTCTTTCCCATGCCTGAAGAAAATCACATTTGCAGAGTCATACCAGCATTTTGATCTAGTCATAAAACAACTCATCTCTTTCTGCTCAGTCATCAGTTCTGATCATCTGCCAGCTTCCTTGCTTCTATATCTCTGTTTTTGCAGACAGGTAACTTAAACACTGTTTATTGACGGAGGAAGGAATATTCTTGCCACTCTTCAGAGAAGAAAACTAAGGAAGAGAGATTTTCTTGATAATGTTTACAGGCATAATATGATAGACATACAAGAGAAACCACTCCCTTTTTTAAAAAAATCCTTTATTTGGGATTTATTCTGTCCTTGGCATCATCTTGGACAAAGAAGTTTTGACAGCACAGATTGCTTGTCTTGTGTAGAATTGAAATGTGTCTGACAAATTTCTGGATTTTCATGAAGTTGTCTATAGTGAATGTGCTTCTTGCTTCTCTGTGCTCAGTATTGTAGTGGTACATGGATGGATTTTGATTCTCTTTTTTTTCTTCAGACCAAAGGTGTCACACAGGTAACAGGGTGAGGCAGTGTATTTGAGAAGTTCTGAACTAGAGGGAAATGTGTCGGTGTATTCTGTGTCTTGTGGAGTGTTAGCAGAAAGAGCTGTTTTGGCAAGGCTTGCCAGAACTTACTTGTACTCAAGAATCATCTAAACTGCTCCTATTATTGTAGTTTGTAGAGCTTTCCATTTGCAAGCCAGGGAAGCTTAGGAAGACTTCAAAGCACAGGATGTAGAATTCTTCCTTTTCCTGCTTTTCCAGGTCAATAACTGTATTTTCTCTTCCAGAAATGGGAACAAATTGAAAGCAATTCTAAGCTGAGGCACGTTGGCAGCAACCTCTGTCTAGATAGCCGAAATGCCAAAAATGGTGGTCTCACCGTCGAGATCTGCAATCCTTCTTTGTCACAGCAGTGGAAATTCACACTTAATCTGCAGCAGTAGAAGGACTTGCAAGCAAAATGCTGTTTCAACTGAAAAACATTGGGCAAAGTTTTGATTGAATTACTGATGTATTTCTTAAAACTTTCCACGGAACTTATATACCTCAGTATTCCACCTTTATCTGAAAGTAGAGTGCTGAAGCAGACACCAGGGATCCAGGGGACTCGGAGCACTGCAAAGATGTCACTGAGCATTACTTCACAGGAAGAAGGAATTGTGCTGCAGACTTCAACTGTTCCTTTCTGTCTTCAGCTACTACTTGCACAGCAGATAATTAACTCTAGGAACAACTGACGTATTATAAACAAAAGGATCTGAAGAAACATCTGTGGGGAACAGTGTGGGAGGGAGGGTGGGAAAAATTACTAGGAGAAGCTAATTTGAAAACTCCATTGGAATAGAAGTCATGGTTTGTCATTTCCAGAACCAGAAGTGTCATTTTGAAGTTTTTTTTTTTTTTTCTCCTGTGTGTACTTGGTAATTTGAATATGAACTTTTCTATGATGGACTCTAAATATAAATATATGAAAGTATATATATTGTCAGCTCCCAACGATTTGTATCAGTTTTCATCATCCTATAATTTTCAACCAAGTGATTGACATATGTATAACCAGAAATTGGATTGGAGTGCTAGGAGAGAGAAACTCTGAGGGTGCGGATTTTGTGCTGCTGGGTATGATGTCCGTGCTAACACTGGATGCTTTTGCTTTGCAAACTGGATCTACTTCTTAACGCTTCACCCTCGCTGGAGATCATGAAACTCAGGAGGAGAAAGAAAATAGCAGAGGAAGTCAACGCATCTGCCCAGATGATTGCTTGGATTGTTTATTCCAGCTCGGGAATTCAGCACCTGTGCTCTGGATAACGTTAAACCTGTACTTGATATTTGTGTTGATCATTTCTGTAGTACTTTGTCTTTAAAATATTTCTTCCTTTGTTACAAAATTACATAAACTGCACAGAGCTTTTGTGCAGCTGTGTTGGTTCAGCAGAATTTTATTCTGGGCCCTAATGAGGAAAAAAATTTCTCTAACTCCCCTTCTGAGTTGTAGAAATAAGTTAAAATTGTAACGCCACTGACAACAGCACATGATCTGAATTTTAATTTGCAAGGATGAGCAGCTATGTAATATCTCTGAATTGCACATGCTTAATTTATAGACCTACTACTGGGGAATTTTCTTCCTTTTTGTTTCTTTAAATGTAGCTTTTGAATGCATTCAGGCTTGACTCTGGGAATCAGCCTGGATACCTGCATAGCCTATATGTTTTTAACCACAGAACCTGTGCATTTTGCAGCTTCAGTCCAGCTGATGTCATTTTTATAAAACAATACTGTCAAAGGTAACCCCAACTTTGACCTGTCCTTTCTTATGTTTGCATAGACTATATACTTTTTTATTAAATGCTTCAATGAGCTTTTAAAATGAGAAGGAAAGTAAATAAGTATTAATAAGTGAGACAGCATTGACAAAAATTAGTGCAGACATGGAGTGCCAGGAAGCGGTTTTGGAAGGATGGATCTTGGAAAAATATAAGGGTTGATCATAAGGAGATGAAAAACATCTGCTGTACTGTAGTATGCTGCTGGTACTGTCCCCTTCTTTCTTTGTCCTGGAATTAGAGTAGTTCCTGATTTTTCATTTTCCCTTGGCTGTACCTATGCATCAGGTATAGAGATGGTACTCTCATGGGCAAGGTGGCTTCACTGTGCCAGTCAGTGTGCCCATAGATACCTGGTGTGGCTGAAGTTATGACCTGCAGGTACCTGCTTACCTTTGGGATGGGGCCCTTAAATCCAGTTTTACCCATCCATCATCATCTGGCATTTTTTATGAATAATTAATACTTTTTCTCTGCTGATCCACAATCCACTTTCTCCAAAACTTGCCTGTTTTAAAGGCCAGACAGTGGATAAAGTATTTTCAGCTTTTAGTCTCTCCCTGTAGCTTTTCAACCTAGCTGAGAACTTGAAGAACGTGTTTCATAAACATAGCAATAGATGCCTTCATGTTTTGGAAAACAAATGCTGCAGTATGAGCTCAGCAGCAAACCAGTTGTTTGAGGCTTTGAAAAACAGAATTTAAAAGGAAGTTAAAAAACCCAACCACTCAGCTTCAGCTGTGGAGGTACTTCCATTCACAGCTTTGATCTCATTGAGGGTGGTACTACCTGAAGTCAGCAGCTGCAACTCTGAATATTGACCTGCCTCTTATCTCTGAATCAGAATTGCTTGTGAAAAGAAATTTAAAAGAAAAAGTCCATATTCCATCGCCTAAGTCTTTAATGACTACAACATTCATAAAGTAGGAATATTTTTTCAGTAATTCCCCATGGATGTTGGGCATAGGGGTTTTAATGTAGGAGCCATGTGCTTTGAGAGAACAGACAAGAAGTGGTATCCTTTTGTTATGTTTACATGACGGTGTGCCAAAGTTACTTACTGTGATTTTAGGGGTTTTTAATGCAGAAGAAATTCACCCATTTGAAAGATAAATTAAGAGCCCTTGAAGCAAATTGTGATGGAGTCTCCTGAGAACTTTTCTTACTGTCTTCAGAACAAAAATGGTGATACTGTTTATTTTGCAGATTTTCAAAACATAGTTTGGAAACTGTTTTTTTCAGTTGGTTTGAAAAGTCTGCTGTACAGAGCTTGTACTTGTTCATTTTATAGATGGAAACCATCCTTGAAAATTTGTTTAACTTAAATAAAGAAGAACGCTTTATAGATAAGTGTGTGCTGGTTAATAGATCTGAGTAGAGGCAGTAAAAGTCTGCCTGGAGCTTGGTGATTGAAGTAGTTTTCGAACACTTCATTTCACTTGGTTGCTTCATCAAGTTCCTGTTCTATAAGTGTGTATATGTGGTTGTATATTTGTATTTATGAGAAGAGATTTTGCTTGTGCTTAATACTGTAATTTTGAGGAAATTGTCTTATTTTACACTGAGGAGAGGGCTCATGCTGATTGTGTAGTCACCTAAAAATATATTGTCAAGGCACTCCCTGTCCTGCCCCTCTGGGCTCGAGCTTCTGGAGCTTCCTGCTGTGCCCCTCTTTGCTCCCAGCAATCCCCGTGCCAGGGCCTGGTGCAGATGCAGCTCTCAGCCCCTCGGGCTGCTCATGGCTCCATGTGCTCTCTCTTGTGCAGGGTGGGCATTCAGGTGTCTGTGCTGCAGGAGATGATTGATTATAAATATTTAAACAAAAAAAATATTTATTTTTTTTAATAAAGGATTTTTAGGTGGCAAACACTCCACTGGTCTAGTTTAGAGAGACTGCAAATGAACCTGCACCAGGGCAGGTAGGGAGGGAGAAAATTCCGCTCTGGAGGGCGTGGAAGGAGAATATTCCTGCTGCCATAAGAGGAAATGGGGATGCCAACAGGGCATCCCCTGGCAGAGCTGACCTGCAAGCTGAGTGGGCTGGAGAGGGGACAGTGCTCCAAAAATGTCATCTGCGACCTTCTGTGCAGCCTCAGAGATGCCACAGGTCAGCTTTTGGGGCACATTGTTCTATCCCATTCCATGGCATGCAGGGCTAGGTTCTTTGCTCCTGGACTGAGAAATTCAGCTTTGCAGTCAGCCCCAAGGGCAGGATCAGCCAGCAGAACCTGCAGAAGCATCTATG